ACTTACATCTATGTGAGAAGCAACACCTGCCTTGCTTTCTTGCACATCGGTTTCTCCATCTGTAACCGGGCGTGTTGTCTGCATGAAGGGGGGACTCGAAGGTGGAAAGAAAAGACCTTCCTGGAGACAGCTCTGGAAGCACATCTCTTGTGCCATCATTCAATCTTCCCGTAATTCATTAAGCCTATCGTGAAGGTTTGCAATGCACCAGGCTTTCTCCCGGGCCCTGTGAATACAGAAATCAACAAGGTGACAGGCCCTCCTCTTAAAGGATTCATAATGTATTCGTACATTTTCCACCAAGAGAAATATAAAAGTATTGCCCTGGCCGGTTTGGCTCAGCGGTTAGAGCCTCGGCCTGTGGTACAGAGAGACCCGGGTTCGGTTCCCGCTAAGGGCACGTACCTCGGTTGCAGTTTGTCCCCGGCCCTGGTTGGTCGTGCGGGTGGCAACCACTTGATGTGTCCCTTCACATCGATGTTTCTCTCTCTCTCTCCCTCCCGCTCTGTCTGAATAAAAAATGCAAAAGTGTCCTCGGGTGAGGATTTAAAAAATAAATAAATAAAGATATATCTTACAGTTGATAACATCTTAGATTCACGTTTGGAAAAAATTATTTTTTAACTGGACTTTTAATGGATTTCACAGCCACCGAATTTAACACAAGGTCTTCCCAAAATATTTCTATTTCATTCAGATGTGTGCTGTCATGGAAATCATGTGTCTAGATATCTAATTGCTCCTCTCTTTTTATGGGGATGGCTTTGAAGCCATCTCACACCAAAGGGCCCGGATGCTTTATCACCTCATGGCCACCAGAGGGAGATAGAGCGTCGGAGAGAGACAGGTTGCCAGGGTTGGCTTTTGCTCTCTTAAATCTTTCCAGCGAGCTCCCTCCAGAGCTGTCTGAAACTCACCGACACTCATCTGCAGGGTCAGAAAGGAACAGGCCCCCTTCCAGAGCAATGGCAGCGTCAAAAAGAGGAGTTGGGTGGATCTGAATGATATTTTGTATATCTACGCTAAAAAAAAAAAAAAAAGCTATTGTTTAAATGAACTCCTCCTGGGAATGACTTCAGGTGCTAGACATGGCAGAGTTCTGGCTTGGAAAGGCAGGGCTGGTGGGTGGCCCCACACCCTTCTTAAGTCATTCAAGTCCCATGAGACCCACATGATCTGTAAAGCTCTTCAAGGAAATGTTCCCACTCCAGTAGTCACCTAGAGCTTTCTGTCCTTCCTCCCCTCATTTAACTGTTTATTTCTTGAACACCTACTATGTGCCAGGCACTGTGCTAGGAGCTGAGATTACAGCAGTAAACGGAACAGAGAAGGTCACTACTCATGCATCTTAACTGCCTATGGAGAGGTAGAGATTATACAAATAAATATACAAATGAGTCTGTCATTTAGTGGTGCAAAAAAATGCTATAAGAAAAAACACTGGGTCTCCTGACAGCATGTGACAGGAAAACACAGGGATGGGTCCGGGAAGGCTTCTCTGACAAGGGATTATTGAGGCAAAGCCTGAAAGACGAGCAGGAGTTACCCAGGTAAGAGCAAGGGAGAGAACTTCCAGGCAGATGGACCAGGATTTGAGGAGCCCCTGGGGTGGAATAACACTTACTTAACACCTCGGCAGTAAAGGCCAGTGGGGAGCCCAGAGACAAGGGCAAGAGAAGCACAGGATGGGCTCAAACATAACGAGAGCTCGGTGATGCAGAGCCTTGCACACCATGTTGAAGGCACATTTTTCCATCTGCAGCCATTGAAAGGGTTTAAGACAGGAACCGACATCCGTGCATTTGAGTATTAATATGAGAACTCGGATTGCCCTGTGGGGGCGAACTCTGATTGGCTGGAAGTTACTGGAGACGTGGCAAGAGTGATGGCAGCCAAAGAGTAACATTGGACACGAAGGTGTATATTCATTTTTATGATAATGGAAAAAACGATTTATTAGAAAGATAGAACAAATTTATGCTTATATGCACATTTTCCACTCCAGGGTCATGTAAGTATTTAACTTTACACACATGATTCCTTTTGATCTAAACGATGAGTATGGCAGGTAAACGAAGTTATTGTACAGATCCAGAAACTGACACACAGAGCAGTTAAGCAACTTGCCTTAGGTCTACAAGCCAAGGTCTGTAACTTCAAATGCCATTTTTTTCTATACCTTTTTATATTGAAGCATAATTAAGTACTCAGAAAAATGTGCATATTGAAAAATAATATATATTCATAAAAATGCACATATAAAGGTATAGTTCAATGGATTTTCACAAACACCTGTGTAATCAGAACTGAGATCAAGAAAGAGAATATACTCAGCACACTAGAGGTACCTCAGTTCTTTTCAAGAGGGATCAGTATAGGAAATAAATTTTTATGAAACTACTTTCAATAAATCTGGTTACTGTTTTCCATCTCCAGTTGGGAGTCTGTGGATGCAGAGGGTCAACTGTATGCATTGATCTGCAGCATTTTTTATAGAGGACTTGAGCATCCACGGATTTTGGTATCTACTAGGGTCCTAGAGCTAATCACAGTTTCCAAGAGGAAGAGCCATGACCACGGGAGGCCACCCAGGGAAGCAGAGGATCAGGTCCACCAGAAGGCAGAAAGAGATGAAGGTGTAGTTAGAGATAGAATTACTGGAGTTGGAGAGTGGAGGAGAAGGGAATATTATGTTTGACTTCTGAAGAAGCAGTTTGGAAAGGGGAGAGGACTTGTCCTTGGATGAGCACCTTTAAGAAAAGAAGACAGGACTTGGGAAGAAAACATGATGAGTTGTTTCAGTAAATTAACTTTAAGCTACTTCTAGGACATCCACATGCAAGCGTAAGCTGGCCAGTTAAGTCATTGAATCCAATGCTCAAAATTGGGCTGGAAGTACCAGTTTTTGGAGTCATGGGCATACAGACCGAGCCATGCGAGAGCTGAGTTCATCTGGGTAGGAGCATCACTAAAGAGAAGATGGGCCAGAACAGACGCTCCTCTTTACAGGAGGAGCCAGCTGAGGAGCGTGTGAAGGAGCCAGAGAGAGGATCAAGTATAAAAGCTAAAGAGAGGGGAGTGTGTCTGGAGGGATGGTCAAGTCCATGGAACAGCACTGAGTGGTGGAGTGAGTTAGGACTGAAACCAGCTTGGATTTGCCAACACAAGGGCAGCAGTAGCCAGACTATGGTGGCTAAAGAGAGAAAGAAAAATGCCCAGAGTTCACTTGAGGATGGCAAGCATAAATTTAAAATGAAAGTAGCTCACCCGGTTATGCCATGTTTCTCTAGCAATGTGCAGTCGCTTGACGAGAGCATGGGAAAGATGGGGTGTTGGGGTAACCTCACTGGGACTTCACACAATAATGAGAGAAGGGACGGAGAAGGAGCAAGGGGTTGAAAGACGAAAAATGATGGGCCATGCAATTTAAGTTAGTAAAGAAGGAAAGAAGGAGGTGGAGGTGCTGGTGGAGGTAAGGGGTTGAGGGTCTCCAGGAAGTAAAAGGACTGTAGCAGAAGGCACACTTGAGCAGCTGAGCTGTTAGTCCAGGAGGCAGTGACCAGAGGAGAAACTCAGGCTTTTGAGATTTCATCATTTGTATGATATCAAGGTCATGTGACGATTATGAAGATCAGTGGCTGAAAGGAAGAGGTAGAGCAAGTCTCCAGAGATGAGGAAGACAAGGATCTGTGAAGTCAGAGAACAAATAACAAGTTAATGTCCCTGAGGTCAGTGTCAATGCCTGAACATTGAAGTAGCTGAAAATGATTGGAGTGAAGATGAAGATAACTATTAGGAGCCCATAAAGTCTTCATTAAATGAGAGTGACCAGAACGTCAGTAACAGCAGTGAGCAGTTAGAGGGGTGGTATAAGCCTCAAAGAAGAGAGGTTTCTCCACAAGTAAGGTATATGGTAGCCTGAAAGCAACAGCAAAGAACAAGAATTCCTCTCATTGGGAGTAGAAGAAATAGACCAGATAAATGGTACTAACGCAGGCATAGAAAGAGGGACTTCACCCCCTTTGGCAAAGAGCTCTGCAATCCTTTAGCAATGTCTGCAATGGTAAGTGTAAGGAACACTGGCACTCGTGCTAGGAATATGCAATCACTGTCCTGAGATATACTGTCTTGCAACTCAAAGGAGGTAGCAAGGAGCAGTAGAGAAAATGCAGATCATATTGAGGAGGCTGTGGGCAGGTCCAAACCAAGCCTCAAAGACACAGTGATGTCAATGAAGACATAATGGAACTGGAGTAGGCCAAAGAAGAAGAGTTAAGATTACCGAATGGGAAGGGGAGAAGTACAGCGCTACCTGGGACACCAGATAGGTTGGGAAACTGAAGGCCTTGGGCAGATATTGTTCCGAAAGCAAGTCATGGCGTAAACCCTGGCCCTAGCCGTTCCACACAGATGGGGAAGGATGGCCCGCCTGGCGCACACAACTTCAAATAGATTGTAGCTGTTTCTTACTGTTTCCAAGGAAGGAAAAGAGGGAAGGAGATGAAAAGAGCACTGGGGGGCAGAGGGGAGAGAAGAGACTAGGGGTCAACTGCAAGCAATGTAGGCTCCACAGCAATTAAGAAAACAAGTTTCTCTGAGCTCCTCACTGAGTTGGAAGCCAGATCTATGTATCAAGGGAAAATATATGTATACCTGCTACCACAATAAGATAGCACAATGAACAACATAAAAGGTCAAGAAAACATATTTCAGTAATCAGAAAAAGGAGAGACATCTATTCTAATCGCACGGTCAGGGAAACCCTCACAATGGAAATGGACTTTCTTCTGGACTTGGAAGAACAGGGGATTTTGAAAGGTAAAGGTCACATGGGTGGAAGGATGGCTTCCGGCCCCTCTGGCTCACAAGCTACTGCAACGGCAGGTCCCATGTGTGTCCGGACAGACCCTGTGCCTCCGGAGGCCTCTTCCAGCCTCAGCCAAGCCCCGGGTCCTGACTCAGCTGTTCTTTCCCTTTTGTTCTCAGCGGTTGCGGGACCAATGAGCAGCCGCCCCCTGAAGGAGATGTCCGAAACCCACGGCCGTCCTCTCCTGGCAGAGCCTCTTTCCAGCAGGTACAAACTCTACGAGTCAGAGTTACCCAGCCCTACCTGGCCCTCCAGCCCCCAGGATACACACCCGGCCCTGCCCCTCCTGGAAATGCCGGAAGAAAAGGTGAGTGTTGCTCCTGGGGTGTTTCCCAGCTGGGGCTGGAGGGCGGGGGAAGAGGCTACTTTCCCAACTACCCAATGGACAGATTACATAAGCCACAGAGGGGCCACTGTTCAGGGAGATTCCGCCCCATGTCAATACATGGTCCCTCCTGGATTGGTCCTACTTGGCCTAAGACAGAGAAAATGTAGCTTGTGTGTTACATGATTTTTTTTTATCCTCACCCAAGGACATTTTTCCATTTTTTGTTCAGATAGAGTGGGAGGGAAAGAGAGGAAGAGAGAGAGAAACATCGACGTGAAAGGGACACATCCAGTGGTTGCCACCTGCACGACCCATCCAGGGCCGGGGACAAACTGCAATCAAGGTACGTGCCCTTAATGGGAACTGAACCCGGGTCTCTTTAGACTGCAGGCTGATGCTCTAACTGCTGAGCTAAACTGGCCAGGGCCATGCTACATGATTTTGAGGACAAGTAAGGAATGCACACATGCACACACCAGCCTTCCAGTCTCCAAAATATTGCCCCTTAGTCCTGCTCCCTTGAATCACCTACTGTCTCCAAAGGCAGGCTGCATCCAGCTGCTAGCCTTTAGAACTCCTTAAACACAGAAGCACGGAGGTCGCCTGGCTATAGCTACTGATACAGTTAGAGGGATACCACCCAGCAAGAACAAACCCTGGGGAGAGAGGAAAATCTGATTTCCAGAGTTGCCACACTACATTATTTAAAACATCCAGTTCTCAACAAACAATAATGAGACATCCCAAGAAACAAGAAAGTATGGAACAGGGGAAATAAAGCAGCCAACAGAAACTGTTCTTGAGGAAGCCCAGACATTAGACTTACTAGAAAAAGACTTTAGATCACCTTAAATACAATCAAGGAGCAACAACACATCTAAAGAGCTAAAGGAAAGTAACAGAAGTACTACCATCATATCTCACCAAATAGAGACTATCGATAAAGAGGAAATTATAAAAAGGAAACAAGTAGAAATTCTGAAGTTGAAAAGTACAGTAGAAGTGGAAAATGTGCTAGAGAAGCTCAATATCAGGTTGAAGCAGAGAGAAGAAAGAACGAGAAAATGTAAAGACGAGACCATTGCTGCCTTGTTTGTCTAATGACTCTTCTGAACTAATTCTGGAGTCTGTATTTTTTGTCATTTCTAGCCACTGATGTCTCTGCTCCGTTAGCCTACTGGTCAGCAAATGATTAGACAGATGTTTCTAAGGGGTCTGTGTGCATGTTGGGGTCTATCTCCCACACTCATCCAGGCAGTTTTCAACGCCACCTTCGCCTTCACTTCCTGCTGGCATAGAGACTCGAACTCAGCCAGGCGAGGAGAGCGTGGGGACTTCTCGGTTCTCCTTTGAGCATGCACACGGTCCGGTAGGACATGCAGGACATGTACTGGCCCTACACGTGCATGAGGGCTTCTAGAGTCACAGAAATATGCCCAGGCTTTTAAAAAACCCCTTTGGACTCTCCATTCCCCAGTGTATCCTTTTAAGCTTTTTGACTGGAAAAAGCTCATTGCTTTCCCCGACTGTTAGCCACCGTGTCAGGCACAGTTGCTCCCATTGCCTTTGTGGAAGAGAGAATTTGAGGTTCTTACTCCACTGCTATCCTCAAGGCATGTAAGGTTTTTTTTTGTTTTTTTTTTTATCCTCACCTGAGGACATTTTTCTATTTTTTGTTCAGGTAGAGTGGGAGGGGGAGAGAGGAAGAGAGAGAGAAACATCAATGTGAAAGGGAAACATCAAGTGGCTGCCACCCACACGACCAACCAGGGCTGGGGACAAACTGCAACCGAGGTACATGCCCTTAGCGGAAACCGAACCTGGGTCTCTCGGGACCGCAGGCCGACGCTCTAACCGCTGAACCAAACTGGCCAGGGCAAGGCATGTAAGTTTTGATGCAAGGAGGAGGTTGGAGAAATCTATAGACCATCAGTGTGCAACTGAAATATAATGTGAGCTTTCTATGTAAGTTTAAATTTCTATTAACACATTTTTTAAAGTAAAAAGAAGCAGGTAACATTAATTTTAATAATATATTTTACTTACCCTAATATATATGAATACATATAATATTGTTTCAATATATAATCAATATAAAGTATCATTGAGATAGTTTACCCATCCTTTTTTATATACTAAATCTTTCAAATTCACTTACAGCACATCTCAGGTTAGACCAGCCACACTTCAAGTGCTCGACAGCCACACATCCCGTTGACTATGGTGTTGGACAGCACAGCCTCAGAGCAGGGGGTCCTGACCAAGAGGTCCATGGGTGGAATTGAGGGAGTATGGACTTGGGCGGGATAAGTACTTTATCTCTATTCCTATTAACCTCCAACAAACGTTAGTGTTTACTTCAATTATGAATATAGAAATGAACAACAGTCACATTAGCATACCTGAGATTTTTGTCATTGTCACAGATTGGGTTCCCCTAGGAAGCTGACTTGGAGGTTTGCATACAAGAAGTTTACAGGGGTCCATGCTTACAGAGAAGGAAGGCAGGCAGCAGGGTTGGACAGGAGTTGGGCTGTGATGCAGTCACAGCAGAGGCCCCTGCCGGTTCTGTGGTGAGCGGGGGCTGGGATGGCTCCACAGAGTCGTCCTGAGTTGGAGGGCAGAGGTCCCGACACTCACTCATCACTGCTTGGGGACTATCGGAGTATTGGGTCTGCTATGCCAAGGTGTGCGTCACAGTCTTTTTTAATGTTGTAATCATTGCATTTCAATTGGTTTACTTTGTAATCCTACTTACTTCATTCATTTACATTTACATTCTATAAAGATGTCCATAGGCTTGCCAAGAAGCCAAAAGTGATCCATAGCACCAAGGGTTAAGAAAGCCTGCTATGAAGAATGTGCAGTCATCCTGGGAAGAGATGGTCTGTGTGGGGCCCTCTGGGTCCATATTAGACAGTGCATATTTTTCTTATGATCCTTTATATCAGAAAAACCTGACAACCTTCTTTATCCCCAAATGCCCCTCCTCTCAAAAAGCTGAATTATCGCCCTGGCCAGTTTGGCTCAGCGGTTCGAGCTTCAGCCCGTGGTCCAGAGAGACCAGGGTTCAGTTCCCACTAAGGGCACGTACCTCGCTCACAGTTTGTCCCCAGCCCCGGTTGGGGTCGTGTGGGTGGCAACCACTTGATGTGGTCTCTCTCACATCGATGTTTCTCTCTCTCTCTTCCTCCCTCTCTCCCTCTTGCTCTATCTGAAGATGAATGCAAAAGTGTCCACAGGTGAGGATTAAAAAGAGAAAAAAAAAAGCTGAATTATCTAATATGTTGTCATGGCTTCTCCTGAAAGGATCTCCGGTCATCCAACGAGGAGAGCCACATCGTGAAAATTGAAAAACCCAATGAAAGGAGTAAAAGGAGAGAAAGTGGAGCAGCGCCCCGGGGCTCTGCAGGCCGGGGAGGCATCAGCCTCTTCCAAGTAGTGAGCTACCTCACGGGCGAGATGAAGGAGTGCAGGAGCTGGCTGAAAGGTAAGCAAACGCCCAGGGAAGAAGCAGCTGGGCCAGGCCAGTGAGACAGCCCTCCCGAGGAGACTGCTCCCCCCCCCACCCACGGTGAGGGCTCCCACAGTTGGGGTGCTCCAGCCATGAGTTGACTCCAGATGGTCATAACATAACCCTACTAATGGGATTCCCAGGGTTTCAGAATTAAATGCATTTTGCTAATTTTATTTTATTTTTTTTAAATAAATTTTTAATTTATTTTTTTGTTACAGATATTTTACCTTTTTTACCCCATTGGCACCCCCCTCCCCACCCCATCCCTACCCCGTCCCCGGCTTAGTTGTCCATGTCCATTGGTCATGCATACATGCATATACGTTCTGTGGTTTATCTCTTCCCACTCCCCCAACCCCTCTTCTGAGGGATGTCAGTCTGTGCCCTACTTCCATGTTTCTGGGTCTACTGTATTCCTCAGACTATTATGTTCATTATATTCCGTATATAAGTGAGATCATGTGGTATTTGTCTTTTTCTACTTGGCTTCTTTCACTTAGGATAATACTTTCCAGGTCCCTCCATGTCGTCTCAAAGGATAAAAGATCTTTCTTTCTTACCGCTGCATAGTACTCCATTGCGTATATGTACCACAGCTTTTTTATCCATTCGTCTACTGATGGACACTTGGTCTGTTTCCAGGTCTTAGCTATTGTAAACAGTCATTTTGCTAATTTTAGTTCTTTGAAAGGTCTTTACTTCTTCGTGGAATAATGGAATAGATATAGGACAACTGCTGAGCTACATATGAGCGAGCCATTTTCCAAACCAGCTGATTGGTCATTCTTTTCCTAGCCATGTATTCTGTGCCAAGAAAGTGTTGGCATCACACTCTCCAATATTCCAGGGTTCTTTTCTTTCAATGTCTTCCTTCTCCTCATTTCCCTAAACTAAATGCTCCACAAACACCCCTCACCTCCCTGCCCCCACCCATACAGGCTGTCCTAGAAACCCAACCAGAGAAGGAGGCAGAATGGATGTCCCCTCTTCTGGACCTGGCTTCACCTGGGTCCTGACTCAATACTGTTGTCACAGCTGGGCTAAAATCATTACTTTCCCAGCTTTCTTTCTCCAGACTTTCTTTGCTGCTCAGATACCGGCCCTCAACTAAGTCATACAGCGCTACCCAAATGAGTTTCCTTCCCTCCCCACCCCTTCCCTTGGATCAATAAATTTCCCTTGGAGTGCTCCTGGGACTTCCTTGCCATCCAAGCCAATGGCTGGAACAGCATTAAATTGGTCTCAGCACAGTGCCTCAGTCTGTACAGCAAAAATGAACACGCACTGCAGACGGATTGCGGGGCCACTCAGAGATGGGCTGGGTGCCAGGGAAGGAGGGGAAATGCCCTGGCTCCTGCATCCTGTCTGTCTTGGTTGCCATGCCCTGCTGATGGCTCCACTTGTCTTTCAGATAAGCCGCTGGCCCTCCAGTTCACAGACTGGATCCTGAGGGGGGCTGCTCAGGTGATGTTCGTCAACAACCCTCTCAGCGGGTTCATCATCTTCATAGGGCTCCTGATCCAGAATCCCTGGTGGACGATTGCTGGGGGTCTGGGGACAGTGGTCTCGACCTTAACTGCCCTCGCCTTGAGCCAGGACAGGTGGGTTCCTTTCCATGTTGGTCTTGGGTCTTGGGGCAGACAGGTGCAGAGGTGATTACTTGAATGGTCCTCCAACCTTATCCTATCAGCCAGGCCACGGTCTCCTGAGTATCAGCTTTGAACGGGTCATTGGAGATCCTTATTGAATTAAACTGCTCCTCTGCTCACATCAGAGGAAGCGCCGAGCTCCATTTGACAGCAGAGCCTTCTGGAAACACTTCCTCTGGGGCAGGTGCAGAAGAACACTTAGGCAATTCTTCTCCTGTGGAGCTAGCAATCTAGTTGAGAGAACAGGAATAACAGGCAAGAAATGTCTCCGAATCACACAAGACAGTATGTAATGGAGAGCTCAGAGAAGGAAAACTTAAGACAGATATGCATCAGATAAAAGTCCAACTCCTCAACTTGGCTTCCAAAGCCTTCTCTAAAGGACCCACCCTACCTACTATTCACTATTACATGCGTTCCTTATTGAGCACTTTTGCTTCTGCCTATCTAATCCTACCATTCCCTCACCTCTCCTCCTCCAGGAAGCCACTCCTGATTGCCCCCGTGTACTCTGACCCTTCTTTTCTCTCTGAACAACCACAAAAAATACCTCGTTACTATGTTGGATGGTTCTCTCGTTGCTTTCTGAGTCTTCTCTCCCTGGCTATACTCTAAGCATGTTCAAGATGAGAAGTCCAGTTCAAATGTTCCATATTTCACTGCAGTGCCTGGAAAAGATTTGAGCTTCATTGCTGATAGGTCAGTACCACGTTCTACACTGTAGGTTCAAAACTCTAGGCACCTACACACACATCTTTCCGAAGAGCCACGACTTCACCACTGTTCTCAATGGACCGGTGACACAGCCACACATCCGGGTCATAACCTCCAACCACCTTCCCCCACCCCCACCCCAAGTATCACACCCCCACTATCACACCCCCACTGCTTCGGAGATTGTGCTCTACAGATAGTCACTCAGGTCAGCGACACTGTTGCTGCAGTGTCCTGCTGGACGTGATCCTGACGAAGATCCTGTGCGCACTGGGGTTGAACCTCGTCATATAGTCTCGATGGGCAGAGCAGGGGGTAAGGTAGTGGGTTTCCCTTTGACAGCCAAATCCAGAGGCCACCAGAGTCCCGGTGGAGAGTGTTCTGGGGGAACACTCTCCACAGGGAAGGGCAGCTGTGGAGGCAGCCCCTAGAGTTCCCCCGAATTTTGTCTCCCTGGGTTCCCTCACTTTATCCCCACTGCCCCTGGTATACCCAGGCACGGAGGCTGCAGGGCCTCGCCAGCATGGGCCAACCGCCTTTGCTTAGTTTGTCTGAAGCAGCTGGTATGTAAAACAAAAAACACTCCAATTTCTAACACTGAACACAAATGGAAAAATATAGAGAAAATGCAAGCACAATGAAAAATAATGATTTTCCCAAAACACGGGTTTCTGCTCCTCAGAGAGTTATTCTAGTCCTAAAGAGATTCTGAACACCAGTCAGTGGTCTTCCCTGCCACCCCTCTTCTTCCCAGCCCCCCCGTCTGCAGCTGCCCCTGGCCTCCATCCCATCAACCCCCCCACACACACACACTCACACACACTCACACACACACTCACTCATAACTCCCTGGTGACACCCCGCAGGTTTCTTTGATTTTCCTCCATATGTAGCAACCTGAGACCCCCGCTGAGAAGAAGAGTTTACACACAGAGAAGACAAAAGTGCATAATTTAATTCTACATCAGCAAAGGTAGTTCACGTGTGTGGGTGTGTGCATGCGTGTGTGTGTGCATTTAAAAAGGTGCCGGCAGCTATGTGATTGGCCAACATTCATCGAATAAACTGACTTTTTTCTGTGAGTAGCAGGAGGGAGGGACCACTGAATTCAAACGCAGAATAATTCTGTTTCACCCCAGGTCTGCCATCGCCTCCGGACTCCATGGGTACAATGGGATGCTGGTCGGACTGCTATTGACCGTGTTCTCCAAGAAGCTTGACTATTATTGGTGGCTTCTGTTTCCTGTGACCTTCACCGCCATGGCCTGGTGAGACACCTCATTCTTTCTGCTCACAGACCCACACAGCCCCCGAACCACTGTCTTACACTGGATGGGGACATGCACCATCACGGGCTGTGTCTTCATAGTCAAGCTGGGTTATCTTGAAAGATACTGTGGAAGTCCATGAGTTTAGTTGTAGTGGAGAGGATCGTGGTAGAAGCTGGAGTGACAGGGACCCTTTAAAGCAACAAAGCATCACATGTTTGGTCTTGTGTTGATATTCTTCCCTGTGTGATGGGCTTCATAAGAAAGGTTGACATGTACTGAGTATCCCCTGCATGCATAGTGCTAAGCAGAGTAAGGCTATTATTGTCTCACCTTTACAGAAGGAAAGACCAAGACACACAGAGGTTATGTAACTTGTCACCAGGTCATACTCTGTAAAAGTGATCAGTGCTGGCCTTCTGAACCCAGAGCCTGCGCTATTTCCTTTTAATTTATCTTTATTGTTGAAAGGATTACAGATGTCCCTCCTTTTTTCCCCCACTGACTCTCTCCTCCCCTCTCCCGCCCCACCCCCTGCCCTCACCACACTGTTGTCTGTGTCCATTAGTTATGCATATATGTATATCAGTTCTTTGGTTTATCTCTTCCCGCCCTCTATCCCTCGTCCCTCTGTGGTTTGTCAGTCTGTTTCCTACTTTCACATCTCTGGATCTATTTAGTTCGTCACTTTATTTTGTTCATTAGATTCCACGAATAAGTGAGATGACGTGGGACTTGTCTTTGTCTGGCTTATTTCGCTTAGCATAATGCTCTCCAGGTCCCTCCATGTCGTCTCAAAGGATAAGAGATCTTTCTTTCTTACGTCTGCATAGTGTCCCATTGTGTATATGTACCACCGCTTTTTGATCCACTCATCTATTGATGGACACTTGGGCTGTTTCCAGATCTTAGCTATTGTAAATAGTGCTGCTACAAACATAGGGGTACATATATTCTTTCTGATTGGTGTTTCAGGCTTCTTAAGGTATATTCCTAGAAGTGGGATCACTGGGTCAAATGGCAATTTCACTTTTAATTTTTTGAGGAAACACCAGTGTTTTCCATAGTGGCTGTACCAGTCTGCATTCCCACCAGCAGTGCACTAGAGTCCCCTTTTCTCCACACCCTCGCCAGCACTTGTTGTTTGATGATTTGTTGAGGCAGCCGTTCTGACAGGTGTGAGGTGATACCTCATAGTCATTTCAATTTGCATCTCTCTGATGATTAGTGACAGTGAGCATTTTGCAGAGCCTGTGCTATTGAACCCCACACTACATGGTAATCATCTATCCTCTGACCTAATCAAGATCCAAAAGCTAAAAACTCACTTGCGATAGAAGCATAAAGTTTTCCTGGACCGGAACATCTATATTTAAAATACAGAGTCTTGGATGAGAAGCATCCATTGAGATCTTACCGTGAAGTCACTCATTTTGCAGAAGGAAGAGAAACTCAAGGTGGGAGGGTATCAAGAAACATCCACTGAGTGCAGGGTGTGCGAGGCCTTCACTCCCAGGAGCCTTAGCGCCCTGGCACCGCGGAGGCCTGAGTGCCCGTGGGCACCTGGAGCACGCCCGCCGTCACGCAGAGGCAGGAAGCCTGGGACAAGCCCTGTCCCCAACCCCTGTGCTCACCTCCCCTCCGATACGCTGACTGATTTTTAACATCTCTAAGAAGTAAATGTCTTTCTTTGATTTCAAAGTCTAGAGTTACTAAAAGCAGTTCGTTTAATTTACTTTAAGTACTATTCCATTACTTTTTAGTAGTGCTTGCAAATAAATTACTACATTAAGCATTCTGGGCAATTTATGTTTTTTCTCAGGGCTTCTTTCTTAATCTATCAGGACAAACAGCTAAAGCAGTTATTTCCGTGGGGAGTTCCCTAATGTCCCCTGCAGGCCCCGTGTAAGGAGTAGGAGGACTTGTCTTCATTTGAATACATTTGGTTATAACTGCATAGAAGAAGCCGCTGGGCACAGCTCCTCAGCCACGTCGCACTGGGTGGCAGTGTGTCTCCAGGGCCCCCGCCCCACCTGTACTTCCCAATTTTAAAGATACAGCACCACTGAGCACCCTACTCTGGGCTGAGCTCTGTGCTGCTGCCATAGCTGTTCACTCAGCTCACGTTGTGCTTGGAATCCAATCCTCAGGGTAGACATTAGTAGTGTCATTTTCCACGTTTATCCAGCAAAGGTTTGCTGAGTGCCTGCTATTTGCAGCGACTGTTCTAGGTACTGGGCATTGTTGTGAGCAAGAGAAGGTCTCCATCCTCTTAGAGCTTACATTTTTCTTGGCAAAGATAGAAGTAAATTCATGAACTGTTTAATTAAAAAGATCGTTTCAATGTGTGAGAAGTGCTTTGAGGAAAGCAAACTGAAGCAAGGGGAACAGATTCCGGATTTGGATGTCAGGAAGGCCACTTTGCAGAGGGGTGTTTGTCCTGGATGATAAGATGGCACCTGCCATTTGAAGGTCTGGGTGAAGGATGCTGTGGGCAGAAGCAGCAGCATGGGCTAGGACCCCCACTGGAGAAGTGTGATTTGCTCATCAGGGCTGAAACCCTGGGTGGAGGAGGAGGGGCAGGAGGTGAGTGCAGACGTAGATGATGGCCAGACCCCATACACCTCGTATGTCCAGTGAGCCTTTGGATTTTCATTACAGCTGTGATGGGACCCAGTTAAAGGGTTTTAAGCAGCAGGGTGATTGGATGTGGTTTCAATTTAAACAAATCATTCTGCTTGCAGTGTGGAGAATGGATTTTAAGTGGACAAAAGTAAATTCTTGAGGCATAGTTAGGAGTTTGCTACAATAACCGACAAGAGATGACAGTGGTTTGAACTAGGCTGATGTCCAGGAAGGTGGTGAGAAGTGGATGGGCTTGGGTATATTTCGAGGAAGGTAGAGTCAACAGGACTTCTTGAAAGACTATGGAGTATGGAGGTTGTAGGGGATGACTCCAATACTTTTATAATTTGCCTGAGCTCCTGGTTGATAGAAAAGACTAAGAAAAACATTAGTGATTGGAGGCAGGGTGCAAATTTAGGGTTCTGTTTGGACATATTAAACTTTCAACTTCCAAGTAGAGAAGTTGAGTCAGTCACTGAATGTGCAAATCTAGAACTTAGTGATATGGTCAAGATTTGGAAGGAAGAAACATATAGAAGATATTTTTGTCCTTGGGACTAAAGGCATTACCCAGAAAGAGAAGATTTAGCAAAGAGAGAGAAAAAAATCCAAGAGAGAGTCGTAGGATCTTCTAATGTTTAGAAGTTGGCAGACAAGGGGAAGAGCTGCTGACAGAGCATTGTGAAGGAGCAGAGAGAAAACCAAGGATGTGCAGCGTATTGGCAACCCAGATAGGAAGTGTTTCGGTCCAGTCACAGGGTCCGGCAGTCAAATGAAGGGGGCAGGGAATGACCATGGATTTGGCAAAGAGATGTCACTGGTGAACTGGCTGAGAGGCACCTCCACGGCATGTGGAGAGAGTTCCGATGGAGTGGGTGTAGGAGAGAGTGTGAGTAGAAAGATGGGGGGTAGCTAAAATAGACAATAGTCTGAGGAGTACTGCTGTGAACAGAAACAGAGGAAAAAAGGCAATAACTGAGTAGACATCAGATTCAAGGAGGAGGGTTTTTAAAGGTCAAAGATACTAGAAGACGTTTGTGTGTTTACGAGAATGATCCAGAGAAACAGGAGAGAGAGAAGAGAACTACAGGCGGGAAATCTTTGAAGCAGGTTGGACACCAAAGTGCAAGGGAACGAACGAGCCTGATGAACGGGCAGAAACACTTCTATCCTCTGAAAAACGCCGAGGGGGCTGTGTGCACACAGGGCAGTCGGAGTGTGGATCTTGTGGTTGGGAGAGTGAGGCCTCTCTCCTGATTTCTGTTTTGTTAATGAAGTACAGCAAGGTGGGCAGCCGAAACTGAAGGGAAACAGGCATGAAGATTTGAGGAGAAAGGAGGGAATGTGAAATAATTGTCTCGGCAAGCTGGAGAGTTAATTTGCTAGGGGTTTTCGGGCAGTCTTAAATGCCCATTTGTGATTCATAGTCATTAATTAAAAGTAGACCAGTCAACCCAATCACGTGATTTCATGTTTTGTCCTGAGCTCCCTGAGTGTGGAAGATGTAGTGTCTTAGGTGTTTAGGGTGTCTGGTCCCTTCAGAGGAAACTAAAGCTAAGGAAGATTAATTACCTAATGTTGCTCACTCAGCCTCTGGTTAGAATTTGCACCTAGCTCCCTCTTTCTCCAAAACCTATGTTCTTTCCAAGGAAGAGGCCAAGAAGAGAGAGAATACCAACAGCTCATGGTCTCATTTCTGCATGTTGGCTCCCAGAGTAGCTCCAAATACTTGCACAGAATCCAAACCTGTGTCACCTATGTGTGTCCCAGAAGGGCCAGACTCCTAAAACATGCATCTTGATGATCCAAAGGTGATATATGATATCTTTACACATTACATTTTGTTTACCTTTCTTGACTAACAAGGAAATATTTAGGTTATACTATAAAGCGTTCTATTCCAGACAAGTTTGTCTTACTTTTAAATTCTGTTTCTCAAAGGTGCAGCCTTAAATTGACCACCCTCTTCCCAGCCGCAGGCCAACGGACTACTAGACTCTCAAGAGAGCCAGGAGGACTGTGCCCGGGAGAGTGGAGAGTAAAGGGCACAGGGGCCAGAGCTGATGAGACGCTGCAGACTTGAGAATGAGCACAGTGATTAACCCTTCGTTCTTCCCTCTGCAGCCCAGTTCTCTCCAGTGCCCTGACTTCCATCTTCAGCAAGTGGGACCTCCCAGTCTTCACGCTGCCCTTCAACATCGCAGTCACCCTGTACCTGGCGGCCACGGGCCACTACAATCTCTTCTTCCCCACGACACTGGTAGAGCCCGTGTCTGCAGTGCCCAACATCACCTGGACGGAGATTGAAGTGCCCTTGGTAAGTTACCCCCTGCTTCCACCACAGACCTTCTCAGTAACCGGTTTGTGCCTCACCCATCTCTCGGTGTCTCCAGATGCCCCTCCCTCAGATGATGGGTCTTGGGGAGAAGAGGACAGGAAAGGGTCTCTTGCCACCTTCGCATGTTTTGACAACAAACCTTTACTGCAGACCTCATCTGTGCCAAGCACTTGTTCAGACACTGGAAGACTTGGGGACAGCGACATCTCTGCTTTAGCGAGGCCTACACTCTACACAGAGAAACAGATGACAAACGAGACTCCATGACAGGTGGTGGGATTGAGGGAGAATATTACATAGATGGGAGTTGGGTAAAAAAAAGCAAGACACTAAAGAAACGTTTAAAATTGGGATTGAAAAGATATTAGCAGTAGAATGGAAGGTGAATTTTCGTGCGCTTTCCATTTCATTGTTTCTCAAGCAGAGGTGGTTTTGGCCTCCTGGAGACAGTAGGCGGTGTCTGGAGACTCTTTTCATTGTCAAGACTGTTGGGGGGCAGCGTGCTACCAACGTTTAGTGAGCAGAAGCCAGGGACGCTGCTGAACATCCCACCATGCCCAGGGCAGCCCCTCCCATAACAAACACTATCCAGTCCAAAGTGTCAATAACGCCAAAGCTGAAAAACCTTGTTTAGTGTCCTACTATCACAAATGTACATATTCATTTATTCTACTGATCTCTAGATAGCCTAGATGCAGGGATATAATAGACATCTAATGTAAGATAAAATCTGTAGAATTGTAAAATTTGGCCTTGTTCACAAACCTTGAGATAGCTAACAGCTACCACTAAGGCAAGTTTATTATGCATTAAATGCTATTCTGGCCCTGGCCAATTTGGCTCAGCGGTTAGAACGTTGGCCTTTGGTCCAGAGAGACCCAGGTTTGGTTCCCGCCACTAAGGGCACGAATCTCGGTTGCAGTTTGTCCCCGGCCCTGGTTGGGTCATGTGGGTGGCAGCCACTCGATGTGTCCCTCTCACGTTGATGTCTCTCTCTCTCTCTCTCTCTCTCTCTCTCTCTCTTCCTCTCTCTCCCTCCCACTCTATCTGAACAAAAAATGAAAAAAATAAACAAATAAATAATTGCTGTTCTAAGCCCTTCCCTTAATAACTCATTTAACTCTCATAAAAACCCCACACTACAAGTCCTGTCATCATACCCACTTCACAGATGAGAAGAGCCTGACACAGAGCCCGGGCGTTGACCCACCACCCGCTGTGTCCACGCAGGACCGGCGCTTGCTGGGACGATCACAGTGAGACAGCCCCTCTGCTTCTCAGCGCGGTCTGCCCTCTCTTAGTTCCTTTCAGTGTTGGAGTGTTCTTTACAGTCCTCAGAAATCTCCCTTTATTTTCACCCCTTAGTTCTGGCTGTCTTTCTTACAGTAATTTAGAATATTGTTTCCATGATCACCTTTTTTTTTTAAATCCTCACCCAAGGATATTTTTCCCATTTATTTTCAGATAGAGTGGCAGGGAGGGAGGGAGAGAAACATCGATGTGAGAGAGACACATCAACTGATTGCCTCGCGCATGACCCCGACCAGGGCCGGGGACCAAACCACAACCGAAGTACACGCCCTTGACTGAAATCAAACCCGAGACTCTTTGGTCCACAGGCCAATGCTCTAACTGCTGAGCCAAACCAGCCAGGGCTCACCTTTTTAATATTTGAAAACACGACTTAAGTCCTCAAATATTGTTTGCGTTATCTGATTTCTGAGCCCTCCCCCCCCCGCCTCGCCTGTAGTCTGGATGAGCTTGAACTTCGGGGTGGCCTGTTGTTGGGTGTGCAGCTGCAGGCCACCGCACTGGGGCGGGGTGGACAGCGCAGGTCCTCCAGGGACAGACACACTACATCTAACCCTGCCGGGAAAGGAAAGGCACCGCCCCTCGTGGCAAACACTGCTGCCAACAGTACCAACCTCTTTTAAGGTTTCTGTCTCTCTAAAGTTTTGTCTGGGGCCGGGGCTACAGTAGGATCAGAGGCAGGGTTAGGGCCGAAACAAGGAAACAGGAAAGACAGAAGACTGCGTGGGAGGGCAAGCCCACCCTCTAGAATAGAAACCGGCTGGGGTAGAGGCGGGGACAAAACTAACTGATAGAATCATCAGTGATCAGCCATCTGCCCTTGGGGACAGGCCCACTGTCTCTGCACTCTACCCATGAGGCATTGCCGGAAAGAAAGCCCCCCGCATCCTGTGCTGTGCGGTTGGCCAGTCCAGCCCTGGGGGGCCCAGCATGGGAAGGACCACAGAGAAGACAGGCCTCTCACTCATGTTGGAAATAAGCAGTGAGGACGCGGGCGGACCCAAAGCCATGCACCTGAAACCCCAGCTCACGCTCTGAGCTCCCACCACGGCACCACTCTGACCGCAGGCTCCTCTTCCCCTCCATCCAGACCTGAGTTTGGAAGAGTGCTGCCATTTCCCTCTTCCTCTTTAAAACAATGGGGGGAGTGACTTCCGTTTTTGTCGAACAGGCTGGTTGTTGCTGCATGAGGGTTATCCGGGTATGAGGAGGCTGGTGCTCAGTGAATTTCCACTGCACACCTGACCGCGCTCACACCGGGGTGCGCGCTGCGCCGGAGCAGCGTGGAGGGGCGCGGGCGGCCTGGGGCCACAGTTCACCAGGCTAACATATGGGCCCCCGGGGAGGAAGCGGCCTTCTCGGTCCAGGCTCCATTCCAAGGCGGCATGTTCGCTCATTCCTCTCATTCCTGACGGCTGGGGCTTACAGCCTGTGTTCCCAGATGGCGAGGTGGGAGCCGATCCCCCCGGCGCCCTGCATTCCTCGGACATTGGGAAGTCGCGGAATATTTATGGAGTAGATTTCCAGCCTGTTCCCCCCCTGATGCTGAGTTCCCTGGACTGGTGCAAAGTGTTTTCAGGGCTCCTTTAAATAACCCAGGTCCCCTACCCTGTCACTCCTTGCACAAGTCTTTGGGCCTGGCCCAAACAGTGCTGGGTTATAAAAGACCACCTATTCAGAGACAAGGGTAGACAACGCTTAAAAACGCTCAAAGAAATCAGACTAACTGCAGAATTCAATCAAGTTGTTAAAAAGCACAAAATGTCACCAATGGGAGAAAGACAGTTAACTCCCAACATCTACAGTAGGTTATCAATAACGAACCCATTGGTCCCCAAACTCTGTTGCACATTAGAAACCCCTGAGGCCCCGGTCATGCTGCATACCAGTTAAATCAGGAAGTCTGGGGAGGAGCCAGGCATCAATATTGTTTTTAAAGATCTTTAAGTGATTCCAATGTACACAGAGTTTAGAAACCACTGAGCTAATTAACATGTAGTTATTATTTATTTATTTTTTTGCTCTCACTTGAGGACATTTTTGCATTCATCTTCAGATAGAGCGGGAGGGAGAGAAGGAGGAAGTGAGAGAGAGAAACATCGATGTGAGAGAGACACATCGAGTGGTTGCCACCCACATGACCCCAACCGGGGCCAGGGACAAACTGCAACTGAGGTATGTGCCCTTAGCGGGAACTGAACCCAGGACTCTCCAGTCCACAGGCGGAAGCTCTAACCGCTGAGCCAAACTGGCCAGGGCTAACGTGTAGTTATTAAGCACCTACTATGTACCCAGCCATAAGGGAGCCGTGTCCTCAAAGAGGTCGTATGACCTGGTAGTAAGAAAAGAGTTTACAGAACTGTAAGACCATCTGCTAGGGCAGCCTCCTCACGACAGAGCAGGGCACCAAAGCCCAGAATGAGGAGGTGACATGCCCGTGGTCACACAGGACCTTGTGTAGTGCCCCACTGCAAGCTGGAGACTTCAACCCCCCAGGCCAGGGCTCTCCCTACCCTGCCAATCTCCCTCCCTTCCTTTTTGCCCTCAAAGGACAGCCAGAACATGGGTGATTCCCCTTGAGTAGAAAAAGGCCATCTGACATCACTGCCAAAGAACCATCTTCAATTCCAACATGATCAAATGACACTCAGCTCAGGGGCAGTGGGCTTCGTGTTCTCCAGACGTTCTCCACACTACTTTCTCCAATGCTGGATGCTCTCCCACAGCAGGGGGTGCCTCCTCCTCCTTCCCGGGGCCTCGAACCCAGGTTAGCTCTGCATGTGCAGCAGACACCAATAAACTAGGGGTCAAGCTCAGAGGCTGTAGCCTGGGCTTGGCCACCAATATGCTGAGTTACCTTTGGTACAATCATTCATCAAATGTCCTAGAATATTTCCAATAGTCCTGAAATATTTCTAGGATTTCAGAAGGTCTAGAGGAATCTCATAGTGCCCTGAAACCCCCAATGACAGTCTAGAGAGGAGGAGTCCTCCGGTTCCCTCAAAGCAGAAGCCATGTGTCCCTCAGAAACACCCTGCCTGGCCCCTGTGTTGGGGAGCCCTGTCTGGCTTCGCATGAAGGATGCTCAGATGCCTGCTAGGTGGTGGAGTGAGAAGCTATTTGTTCCAGCTCATGCTCTCCCATCTCTCACATGCTGGAGGGCACAGCCATACTCCCGTTCCACCCCATTACCCGCCCACCACCCCAGGAATGGCTCAAGCCTGGCCCCGAGGTCTGGTCTTTGCATTATCAGCCTGCATTCCAGTGACCTGGATCTATTTACTTTGCAGCTGCTGCAAGCCATCCCTGTCGGAGTCGGCCAGGTGTACGGCTGCGACAATCCCTGGACGGGCGGCGTGTTCCTGGTGGCTCTGTTCATCTGCTCTCCACTCATCTGCTTGCATGCAGCCATTGGCTCAATCGTGGGGATGCTGGCAGGTAGGACAGGGCCCCTCTCTGCCGGGATCATTTTCCTAAGGTCGTTCTCACGCACACACAACAAATATTCTAGACGCACTATCTCCACTGGAGTTTTTAAACATTATCAGGGGTAGGGACTTTCTGGACTCTCCAAAGGGAGCAGATGGAAGCAGCGGGACATATGGAGAAATGCCAGGGGGATGAAGACCGCTTGGCCTACAGACTGAGCCCCAAGGAGCTGAAGGGTGGGGCAAGGGGGTGGGAGCAGAAGCTGACCCGGTAGGGGCATAAGTGAGCTGACACTTTGACATTTCGAGTAAGCTGAAAGAAAAAATTTCCCAAAAATTGTATTGGCAAATGATTTAATATTCCTACATATATGCATATATATATACACACACACATCTATATATGTGTGTGTAGATAATAGTGTCAGAAATCGGAGTTCCGGGCATTGGGAACAGGAAGCTGTTAACATATCCCGTTATTTCTCAAAAATAGCTTAGAAGCAGAACTTATTTTTTTAAAATTACCTGGAAAAAAATTTCAAACTTATCAAAACTAAGAGTAGCACAAGAAGCACCCATAGCCCTGACCAGTCTGGCTCAGCGGTTAGAGCGTCGGCCTGCGGACCAAAGAGTCCCGGGTTCAATTCCAGCCAAGGGCACGTACCTCGGTTGCAGTTTGTCCCTGGACCTGGTTGGGGTCGTGTGGGAGGCAACCAATCGATGTGTCTCTCTCACATCGATGTTTCTCTCTCTCTCTCTTCTTCTGTCCCTCCCTCCCACTCTATCTGAAGATAAATGGAAAAATATCCTCGAGTGAGGATTAAAAAAAAAAAGATGCACCCATAATTTTTTACCCAGATTCACCAACTGTTCACATCCTACCCATTTGGCTGTACCATTTCTCTCTCCATATATCTGTGTGTGTACATTCATACCTTTTCTCAACCATTTGAAGCACAACCTTTTCCAGTGAAATCTTTCTCACTAAAAACACAGCTTCCCTGGCCAAAGAGAGGGCCTGGAGCCCCATGGCCTTGGCAACCCTCACCCTGGAAGTAGTCATACATCTGTGTGAAATCTTTGCAAAACAGTTTGGAAACCATAGCTCTCTTCCCATTGTTGGTTTCCAAGGACCAGACGCCATCTGTAGAGGCTCCTTTGAGGGGTAGGGGTTGGGGGGTGAAAGTGGGCAATGGCTGGAGTGAGGCCACCCTGAGTCCCAGCACCAGCCCCAGGGTGGCCTTTGTGCTTTGACCCAGAACCAGCCAGAAACACCACACCTTGTCCCACAGCCCTGACAGTGGCCACGCCCTTCGAGATGATCTACCTGGGCCTCTGGAGTTACAACTGCGTCCTCTCCTGCATCGCCATCGGCGGCATGTTCTACGCCCTCACCTGGCAGACCCACCTGCTGGCCCTCGTCTGCGGTGGGTATTTGGGAAAGCTGAGAACGAAGCCACCCTGCTATTCTGTCCTCCCCCACCCCCGCCCTTGGTGATGTGAAACCCATGGTGACCACCCATCAGAAGTGAGCACCAGTGATAGCAGGACAGCGGCTTGGGTGTTTCACAGCTGGGGGACCTGAGGTTCCTCCTCTGTCCAATGGAGCCACACCCACTAGTACTGCTGTGTAGTCACACCGCGTGGGGAAGTTCACGAGGAAGTCACGCGTGCGCGTCCTCGCACTCTGATGACAGCATTCTCGCTCTCCACTACTCTTCATTCAACAATGACCTGTAGGGCACCACTAAGTGCCAGGCCCCAGGCAGGGCATGGAGGACACAGTGGTGTCTGCATCCTCGCAAAGACATGGTCTAGCAGAAGAGAAGTCATTGCACAAGTAGTAAGATCATCATGTCTAAATAAGATTGTCGAAAAGATCTCGCGAGATGGTGTACCTGGGAGCACGGGGAGCTCCCAGCTAAGAAAACTATAACGTAGCTCTATGGAAGTGGAGTAAGGAGAGAACGCTGTGTCTAAAGAGAAATCGGCCACTGTCCTTATATCTGCACTCAGCACCATGCTCTGTGCTACATAAACATATGCACTCCCTTAATTCTCCCCAAATCACTGCCAGGCATATATGGTCAACCCACTTTACAGATGAAGACATGAGACCCACGGGGGTTAATGAACCTAGAACTCAACTATTAATGGCACAAGCAGGATTCAAACCCAGTCCCATCTTTCCACCAGCCTTCCCTCCCTGGTTTGCTTACCTTCTCTGGAAACAGCAGGATTTTAATAAGCAAAACTAGAGACAGGCAAAGGGCAGAATAGCATCCAGAGAGCTTTCCTTTTGTTTTCTCCCACTTCACAGTGGAAAAGCTAAGGGACTTCCATGTCCCCCCTCAGCAGCCAGCGCAGAGGTGCACATGGAGACAGTGAGCTCAGTAAACATTCGTTAAAAGAGCACCAGGTGTTTTGAGGCTCAGACTGTGACTGCCTTTGGCCTTCAGAGAAGTGGCAGCTAACCTGTGGCTGGAGCCCTGGGAAGGCTTCAGAGGGACACTGAGGTGTATCTCAGCACTTTCAGGGCAGGATTTGGATAGGCAGAGAGGGGTGAGGGTGTTCTGGACAGAGAAACAGAGAGAGCAAAGGGGCAGAGGCAGAAGGAGCTGGTCCAAAGGCACCAGGGGTGTAGCAGAGCTCCCTGAACTTTTCTGAGGCCCCACATCCTGTGGTTGAATCCAGGTGCCTCGCTCCTAGGGATGAGCTCAGAGACCCAGTAAGGTCCAGCTCTGATGGGACTTGATGAGGATCCAACAGCATCATGGTTGCTCAGAATCTTGGACAGGAGGGGCCTTGTCTGGAGCTCATATGGTCAGACCACTCACCCCTAGACAAGTAATCACCCAGCAATCCACCCTGTGCTAGATCATGTCCAAAGTCACTGTGGACGAGCAAAAGATGCTTAATGACCCTCACTCTATGCAAGGCCACCATAGAAGTGGGAGGGGATAAAAGGATATGTAAGCTTTATTTTGTGTCCTCAGAGAATACATAGTCTGGTGGGAGATGGGCCACATGTCAAGATGTGGTATAGATACTGAGGCTGCTGGAGACAGGCTGGGATCCCTGCTCTTGAGGATGGTTGGGGGTGGGCTCTGGGAAGCTGACTCTATGATCCTTGTTCCTCTACAGCCCTGTTCTGTGCATACATGGGAGCAGCCCTCTCCAACATAATGGCCGTGGTAAGTTTGGCCCCGCTTGAACACTGTTCCCTTCCCTGGCCAGGGCTCCAGGATGCTTGGAGTCTTGTAGAAGACTCCTGAGTGGGTTATAGTAATCAATACTCTGCACACCTTTGTCAAGGCTTATTCAGGGTTTGTCCAGAGAAGGACTGGCAGTTGGGTGCATGTGCCTCTGGAGTGTGTGTGTGTGTGTGTGTGTGTGTGTGTGTGTGATGCAACCAGCAGTGGAGAACAAAGATGCCTAGATAGAAGTACTTGTGTTTGGCTGGATGTTTGAGGTCATCCATTCCTAGGTCAGTGTTCAGCTCCATCATTAAAAGACTGGTTGTATCCAAAGGTGACAACACCTCAAATTCCTAGACCAACTCCTCTGACCTTGTAACTCCAGAAACCAATGCTGTCACTGAAGAAGTGTCCTCATCCTCAATGCCTATGACATCCCTCTGCTCCAGGGTCCCCGAAGCCTAGGAACATTTTCAGACCCCCGTGCTTTGTTTCCAGGTTGGCGTGCCACCAGGCACCTGGGCCTTCTGCCTCTCCACCCTCATCTTCATGCTCCTAACAACCAACAACCCCGCCATCTACAAGCTGCCCCTCAGCAAAGTCACCTATCCGGAGGCCAACCGCATCTATTACCTGACACTGAAAAGCACTGAAGAAGAGAAGTCCCCCAGTGGTGACTAGTCAAGTTCCAGGCAGAAATGCTCTTTGCCTGGACCTTGTGTCTGCTCCCTGTGGTCTCAGTTCTGGGTCAATCAGCTGCAGCACCGCTTTCTTTGCCTCTCCTTGCACCTGTGTGGAACCAAACACACCTGTAACTTCCTTTCTGATGCTAGATTGCTCTCTCTACCCAAATCGCCATAACTATCCGACTGACATCAGATGGAGCTGGTAATGAGTTTACTGAAGTTAGAAGCAAGATATGTTTTAAAGGAAGATGATTAAGAGATAACCTTGTTACCATGCTTAACTAAATAATAATGCTGTAAAATTGAACTTGCCGAATGGTTCCGAGGCAGACACAAAGTGGGTGGAAATTCAAAGGATACATGCAAAGGCTTGAAGGTGCCATAGTGCACAGAGCTGCACTATAAAAGGGAGGAATTTCACACTGATGAAGTTTTAAAGCCAGAATAGGGACAACTAGAGTACTGGAAGTATCTAAATAAAGAGTCTCGAACATTTAGTGGTCAGAGCAAAGGGCAAGAATTAATTAATTAGAATCCTATATGTGACTTTTATTATGAAAAATAAACATTTCTCAGTGTAGCTCAAATCCGCAACTTTGGGCAAAAATTTCAGTTGAGGAAAATACCTGAGCTCGTTTGTGAATAGCTAGAGAAATGTATTCCATTTTCTTATTTGCTTGTGGGTATCAGTGGCTCTGTGAGATCAATGATACTTACATGGTTAACCTTGACTCTGGGTGAACAATTATCCATAAATTTTATAATTTGGCTTCCCGATTAATACAGTCGTTAGCTTGCATTCAGGCTTTAGAGCAGGATTTAACAAACATTTTCTAAGGGTCAAATAGTAAATATTTGGGGTTCTGGAAGCTATACAGTTTCCTTTGCAAGTGCTCAACTCTGTCCTTGGGAAAAAAAATAGCTTTAGATGGTACATCATGATGAATGTGGTTGGTTCCCGTGAGACCTTATTAAACAGGGAGAAAGCGAGATCTGGCCCACAGGCTGTCGTGTGCCAGTGCCCAGCACACGTAATCCACGGAACGATGGTTGGGACTCGACGGGTTCTGTCCCACAGACATTCACCTGCCGGGTGACAGTGTGAAGATTCTTAGGAAGTGGAGGGGACACAAGAAAATGAGATTAGCCCTGGCCGGTTTGGCTCAGCAGATAAAGCATTGGTCCTCAGACCAAAGAGTTGCGGGATCGATTCTGGGATCGACCGTACTACCTCGGTTGTAGTTCCTTCCGGCCCTAGCCAGGGTTGTGCGGGAGGCAGCCAGTCGTGTTTCTCTCTCTCTCTCTCTCTCTCTCTCTCTCTCTCTCTCTCTCTCCCTCCCTCCCTCTCCCCCTCCCTCCCACTCTATCTGAAGATAAATAGAAAAAATATTCTCGGGTGACAATTAAAAGAAAATGAGATTAGTGTGAGCAGACTCAGGCAGATGTGCCCTGAGCCCCTCAGAAAATGACAGACTCGGGGATGTGCACCCACAGGTGCAGTTTTAAAAGGTCCCTCCTTCCATACAACTGCCTGGGAACCACTCCGAAGGCTCTCTGTCCTCCACCTCCTCACTCTGTTTCCCCCTCTGCCAGCAGGCTCATCACTATGTGAGGTCCCTTCAGAAGCTCTCGGGGTTGGCAGGGAGTTTGCCAGGCGGTGCCCATCCTGAGATGCACAATGGCTCTGTAGGAAGCATGGGGCTTCAGGTCCCGGCCAGGCTTCCATCTGGGGTTCAATCCCCCAAAATGGAAGGGAGGCCCCCGGGGTATTCTAACAACAGATAGCAGAACCAGAGCTAACCTGATAATGGCCCTAGGAAATCACCTCTCCTCTCCATTGAGAAGCTCCATCCAAGAACTGATTAGGAGGGGAACTCTTTTATTAGATTTCCAGGCGAGGAAAACTAGTTGGATATGAAAATTATTTCAGCTCATTTGGGCAACATAATCTCTTTCCCTCCCTTCTCTTCCCACCCCACTTCATAGTTTGTCATTTACAAGGTACCACTTTGGTCACAGGGATCTGAGTTTGGAGGTTTTTTCCTCCCAGGTTCCCATTTTAATGCCCCTAGGAATGAAAAGTTAACCGTATTACAAGCTGCCAAACTCATTTGAAGACAAATGGATAAAAGCTAAGTTGGTCAGAAAAAGGAAAAAATATGTCCAACAAGCCTGGAAAAACCACAGGGCCCCAGAAATTCTATAATGCACTGTGATCAAGATGGCCAGATATCTATGTAGAAATAGAGAAACAACTTATCTATTCGTTTGATATAAAAAAGAAATGTCTGGATGAAGTACTGTTGATCATTTCCCAAGAGAAGTCAGACAAGAGTGCTGAAATGATTAAAAAGAAAACACTTTGGGAGCTAAGATGCAGAAAATTGATGCTATTTCCCAAACGCGGTTGAACAAGGTCCTCCTGGAGACAGAACAGCTCTCATTAAGCCGGGCTGGTGGGCAGATGCTGCATTTCTCTGTCCTGGGCATGAATAAGGGTGGGACAGAAGTAAAAATCCCCACCCCTCTGAGAAGTCTTTCCGTGTAGGTCACCCTGTCCACAGGCCATCACCAGATATCCTCTGAAGTAGCCCAAATAGTCTCATGGGACAGGAGAGCCCCTGGAGTGACCTTGTCCCACCTGCACCTGTACTTTCCCATCTCCCTGAAGCCCTGAATGAGTAACTTACAGGTTCTGACCACCATCATGAGATTCCAAGGGAGCAGATATTGTCCATTATCACCCCAAACTACCAGCAGTAGCTCTTGGTTGTATAAATGGTAGCTGAACATAAGTATTTGTGGCTGAACATTCATAAGCAGTTATTAAAAAAAGAATGAATGTTGTGTGGGACTGGGGAGAAGGGGGCTTTAGAGGAAACACTGTCTTCAACTCCTTCTACCATCCACACCCCTTCCCACTGTCCCCTCTGCAAATCTGCTCATCTCCTCTGGCCTCATCATCTTCCCCCTCCCATTTCCATGCCCTCTCCTACTCTGAAGAGTCTGCTGTCAGCATGCAATAGAGCTGTCCTGCTCCATGTTTAAATCATCCACCTCTAACCATCTTTCCCATGGCTTCTGTGATCATTGACATAGCCAACTTTTCTACTTCTTGGTCAAACTTGAGAGTTTGTTTGCTGGGAAATATGCCATTTTCTTTAGTTTTAATCGTTTGATACCATAGAGTTACTCATGATGTTCTCACAATAATTCAGTCTCTCCTGTGTCTCTGACTTTGTCTCCTTTATAATTTCTAATCTTAGGTAGTTTTGCTCTCTCTTTTCCTTAATCAGGTTTGTGAGAGATTCATCCATTGTATTGACTTTGTCAAAGAGGCAGTTTGGAATTAACTGGTCATTTCTACTTGCGGTTTGTTTTCCATTTTATTGATTTTTTTCCCTGTTTTCTCATGGTTTATTTAAATGTTCTTTTTTTCTTTTCAAGTGTTTTAAATACAAAGTTTCTTCATTTTAGAGCTTCTAACGACAAAGGCATTTACAACTATTAATTTCCTCCTGCGTACACTTTTACCTGTATACTGTAGGTTTTGTAATAAAACATTCTACTTTTATCAGTTTTTAAATAGTTTGTAATTTTAGTTTTGATTTCTCTTTGATCCAAGGATTATTTAAGAATATGTTTCTTAATTTGCAGCACTTAAAATCTTTTGATACTTTCAAACTTTCCATATCTAGTTTTATTGGATTATAAGCAAAGAATATGGTCTGTAAAATCGCTATTTTAAAATTTTATAAATTTTTCTTTGTAGCCAATTACCTGATTGATTTTGGAAATATAAAATGCAATTCTTTATTTGAAAGAAAGACTTATTAAATTGATTTATTAATTGCATCATTCAATTCTTCTATGTGCTTATTTTTTGTCCATGGGATCTTAATTATGAAAAAAGTTTATTGGCCCTGGCCGGTTTGGCTCAGAAGTTGGAGCATCAGCCTGTGGACCGGAGAGTCCCGGGTTCAGTTCCCGCTAGGGACACATACCAAAAAAAAAAAAAAAAGAAAGAAAGAAAAAGCTTTATTGAAATTTAACTATAATTGTCTAGTTTATTAAATTCTTTATATTTCTAAAACTTTAGTCTCATATATGTAGCAGCTACATTGTTTGGTGCCTTTTGATTACCATTGATTCTTCATAGATTTTATCTTTTACTATTACAACTGCCCATTTTTATGTTCATTAATGCTTTTAACCTCATTTCAGCTTATCTGACAATATTGCTACACCTACTTTATTTCTGATATTTTCTTACACCTTTGTTTTAACTATTATCATTTCCTTTTAATGTTATTATTTTCCTTTAACTATTTTCTTAAAAATAACATAAAGCAATGTTTTGTATTTAACCTAATCTTTGTGTTTCTGAAGTTTTCTAAAATATTTTTCTTTATTGATTTTAAAGAAAAGAAGGGAGAGGGAGAGAGAGAGAGAAACATCAAGAGAGAATATCAATCAGCCACCTCCTGCATGTCCCCCCACTGGGAATCGGCCTGCAACCTGGGCATGTGCCCTGACTGGGAACCGAACCAGTAACTCTTGGTGCATGGGTCAGTGCTCAGCCACTGAGCCACACCGGCCGGACGTGTTTCTGCAATTTAATAAGATAATACAATCTCTTCATATTTAGTGTAACAATTAATATGCTTGTCTTATCTCTTCCACTTTATTTTTTACTATTTATTTTTTGTTACTGGTTGTGTTTTTCTTACTTTTCTCATTTTTCACATTTGATTATGTTACTTACTATCTTTTTCTTTCTTTCTTTGTTCATTTGGAAGTTCTGCTATTTTTTCCACTCCACTAGTGATTACTGTTCCCTTCCCAATGCTCAAAATTAAAACTATATTTCTCTATTATTATATAAAAACAAGATGCCAAATAGTTTACCCTCACAAGATACCCCATTTTGCCAATGTTCCTTCCTCACCCTGAGGAATGAAAACCTTTATACTACCTTCATTATTCT